AGGAACATGCGATACCATGACGGGGGCTCGTCTTCCTGACCAGTGTTAATAATTTCCGACTTCGCCTTTTCCTTTCCGGGAATATCTGAACTGGTCATGCGGGACGAATAATTTATTTTTGGAGGCTATAAATGTTACAGAAATCCCGCGTATACTGGAGAATATATAAACGGTAAATCCAAAGGGTTAGTAGCAGACTGTAAATTTCGTGCGCATAGAGCGAGTGTTGGAAACCAAATAATATAAAATTCTTCAAATCTGTACCTTCGAAAATAAACTTTTATGTAATACTGATTCATATAAAATAGTCTTGGAAGGTTTGGTTTTGCATCTATTTCCACGATCTAATTATTAAAGATTTTATTTAGATCAATGATTGATTAATCTTTTCTTACTCCAACCCCGCTTCGTACATGTAGAATTGCTCTCATGGGGTCTTGTAGAACTTCAATATACTCATGTTTTCATTTAAATAAAATAACTATTTCAATTGCAATTGATTATTTACTAATATTAAAAAGATCTCTGCTAATATTTTTTCAAACAAATAATTGTAAAGAGAATTTTACAAATAGTTAAAATTAATTTTTGTAAGAATCATTAAGAATTAGTGAAGATTTGATATCGTCTTTGGCAATCAACATAAATATCTATACTTTACACATCTAATTATTGTCCGTTTCAATATAATATATCAACACAACATACAATAATTCAAATATCAATACAACATAAAATAATTCAAATTTTTTCCAAGAATTCTTTTATTTTTTTTTCCTTGGACTGCACTGAATCTCATAAATAAAACCAAATTAGGAAGCTATATGGTCAGATGGCGATTACGGGTATGAATCATGGACTTATTAAAACATCGAAGTTACAACAACCCAGCGCGAATAGTCAAAGGTTAAAATTTTTAAGTTAAAACATACTACTTCAAACAATCGTAGATTGGAATCACGGTACTCGTGTAATGGACATTGTGATGACTAAAGGACGGTTACATTGACACCGTTAAACCCATAATTTGGTGGTCGCAACAATACGAGGTAACTAGTTAATTAATACAATAGAATCCACGCCACGGACAGAACGAATGGAGTCATTTATTTAGTAAAATTTCTGTCTGTCGGTTGTAATAACGCGAGCTCGGATCGAATATTAATCAGCACGATAATTTGAAGTACGACGTTATCGCAGCAACTAGCGGCGAATCGCACCGCAAACGGTGGAATGCAAGCGGCCTCGCGTATATTCATGTCCGAACGGTGATATCCGAAATTGCAATCGTGCTTTCTGTATCGATAGAATCCGGATGATTCGCGCATTTGTAAATCGACCGGTTATTAAGGGGAACTATCGACGGAGGGGCGGGGCTTGTTCACCCCTTTCCGTACCGCATTCCTTGGCTGGGTTAATCACGGTGATTAGTCCGAAACGATCGTTGATCGAACAGTAATTAGTGGGCCGAAGCTCTCTTGAGACTAGGGACGGAGACGTGGAATCGTTCGTCCTAACGGGGAAGTGTGGAAACGTTTAACTTCTTAAGTGAAGAAATGTCAAGCAATTCAACGCTTCACTGGGTTGAAAGAGTTTGTCTGTAGTGAACAATAGCCATTGGGTACAGAGCCAAAGTGTATGAAATGAGTAAAAAAATGTGTGGTTAAAAAAAATCTGCTTACTTATTTATTTATGGGAGCACAAATTAGTTCGGTCCGTTTTCAAAAGATAGCTCTGGCTGTTATGACTGTTTCATAGTGACAACTGATTTCAATTGTTTCTGAGAGGTTAGATATCTGCCAATAACATTCAGTTTATATTGCTTTGAGTTTCATTTAATACCACTGTTTTTTACTGTGTTGAATATGTCAAATTTTGTGTTAACTAAGCAGCATTTCCGGTAGGTTTTAGTTTTCTGCTTTAATTGGAAGAAAAGTGCAGCTGAAGCTCATCGAATGCTTGTTGAAGTCTATGGTGACAATGCTCCAACTGATAAATCATGTAGGGAATGGTTTCGACGCTTTAAGAATGGTGATTTTAGCGTTGAAGACAAGCCTCGCTCTGGACAGCCAAAAAAATTCGAAGACAAACAATTGGAGGCATTACTCGATGAAGATCCGAGTCAAACTCAAGAGGAGCTTGCAGAATCATTGGGAGTTACCCAACAAGCAGTTTCCGTACGATTGAAATCCATGGGAATGATTCACAAGCAAGGCAATTGGGTGCCGTATGAACTGAAACAGAGAGACATTGAAAGGCGATTTTTCACTTGCGAGCAGCTGATTCAAAGGCAACAAAGAAAGGGTTTTTTACATCGGATTGTGACTGGGGATGAGAAATGGATATTCTACGATAACCCCAAGAAGAAAAAATACTACGCTATGCCAGGTCAATCATTGCTATCGACCTCAACATCAACACCTAAACCGAATATTCATGGTTCGAAGGTCCTGCTGTGTATCTGGTGGGATCAAAAGGGTGTTGTATACTATGAGCTGCTACAACCTGGCGATTCCATTACGGGCCATCGGTATAGGCTGCAATTGATTCGTTTGAGCCGTGCATTACGACAAAAACGACCGGAATACGATCAGAGACATGACAAAGTCATTCTTCTGCATGATAACGCTCGGCCTCGTGTCGCAAAAGTTGTGAAAAATTATTTGGAAACGCTCAAGTGGGATATTTTACCGCACCCGCCGTACTCGCCGGACATTGCTCCTTCTGATTACTGGTTGTTCCGACGGATGCAGCACGATTTGGCAGGTCACAGATTCACTTCTTTCGCAGAAATAGAAAATTGGCTTGTAACTTGGATCGCCTCAAAAGACGAGATATTTTTTCGAGATGGAATTCGAAAATTGCCTGAGAGGTGGGAAAAAGTAGTAAACAGCGATGGACAATACTTTGATTAATCTGTTAATTCATTTTGTTCTCGAAATAAATGCATTTTTCACCACAAAAAAACGGACCGAACTAATTTGTACTCCCCATATTTATTTTTTTTTTTGCTTAAATCATTAGCTTCTAGTCATAGAAATATGATACAAATGGTTTTAGAGCAAAATTTCAACGCTGGTGTGCTGTTAGAGCTGGTTTAGTGAAGTGTTTCCCCGTGCCACCAAGCGACTCTAGCCGGTCTTTAAACGCGTTTCTCTCAAAATAGCATTTTTAAAAACGGTATACAACATAACTTTGAAAGATTTTATCTGATTCACTTGAAACTCTCACTAAATAATCTTTAATACATTTTGCTGTGAATTACGTAAGAATTTTACAAAATATTGAAAACTCTTTTTATAATTAATATTTTTATACGTAAATTTTAAGGCAGAAATGCCAAGTTTTGTTAAAATAGCCACCATCTTGAAAAACTCCTACAAAGTTCAACAGTCTTTCGTATATATGTATAAGTAACGAAGACTCTTTTCGTTTTGTACTAGGATAAACCGTGTGGCTGAATTGTACATCGTTTGGATTGCAAACAAAAACTGGGTTCGGTAAAAAAAAATGGGTAGTTCGGCAATTATGCCACCATTTTATACGTAGAAAAGAAAAAATATTTTTGCACTCTTCACTATATGTATAATAAGATCCTCTAAACAGATTTTTCATAAAGCAATTTATTTACCCGTAATGAATAGTCAAATTTATGAATGATTTTACAGCCTCAGGGGCCTAATTCCTTAAGTCCACTTTTCAAAAGAAATTACATTTTACATGTTCCCCGTGTCAAATTTTTCATTCTTTACCTAAGTTGTTAATTTTTAATATGATATATATAAATGATATTAAACCCAAATCTTGTTCCGAGCCAAACAGTGTAAAGTCCATCACATAATGGACTTAATGCAATGTATGTCATTTCTACATATCGAGACATGTCTTAAGTCTGTTCAATAGTTCGAAGGCAGCGATTGTTTCTTGTTGAATTTTCACTGCACGGTTCCAAAGTTACAAGGTTTTTGGACCTTTGATCTGCACTCGTCTAAAGTTTGAAAAGGGAAAGATGACACATTTTGGCTGTGTGGTCCAGATATGTAACCTACTAATGCCGAAATTATAGACTTCACATATGAACATTCAGTGTTACGTATGTGTATGAGTCGTTTACTTTGAAAGTGGTGTAAGTTCACTTTTTCTTCATTTCTAACTTGCATTTATTCGTAACAATAACAAGTATACCATTATATTTTCGAAAGTTTGGACTCGCACCATTTCCAAAATGCACGTCTCATGCGACACTCGAAAAAGATGAGCAATTTTTAAAATAAACGTAATTAGAAGTGTTTCTTCATTTGAGTCACGAACTTTAAACAAATTTCATTACCAATCTTGACAGAGTAAAAAACCCCATTCAATTTTTGTTAGAGTCCTCTGGGTATACGCGGAAATATGGAGGCACATATTTATCTAGAAGTTGTGTTTGTATACTAAATAGAAGAATGAGCACAGAACTAAAATTGTGTGACCGTTTTATCGAGGTTCTCTACAATCTCAGTTCCAAAAGGTTGGAAATTTTCGGATTATCGACATTTCCTTGGAAGACATAATATTGTAGATTGAATCCAAGACTAATCCAAACTTTATCCTGACAAACCCAAGACCTGACCGAAGTACAACCCTATCTTAACATATACCTAGCCAGAATTTAACCAGATACATCACATAGTTATATATTACATATATTATATAGCAGAGTGAACAAAAGTAAATTGAATCGAAAGCAACGAATTTAAAGTTATCGATTAATAATACATGAAAACAATGTATGTTCAATAATTCTAAATATTTCGCTGCTAGTGTTAATGTTTCAATTTCATTAATCGAACACTGTATATGTTAAAAATGATTGTATTACTCAAATAAGTGCAAAATGTAAAATTCTTTGATAGCCTTATAAAGACTGCGGTACTGTGCAAGGAAATCGTATTATAAATGACCTAAGGCTTCGAATAATTTAGGCTGAAGCTTCTCAATGGGATAATTTCTGATTACAGGTCACGCTCTCCATCTCGATTCTCATCAGTCTTCACGTGTTCTTTCTGCTAGTCGTTGAGATCATTCCACCTACGTCGCTGGTCGTGCCGCTGCTTGGAAAGTACCTGATATTCGCCATGATACTCGTCTCGATAAGGTAAGTGTTCAAAGAATCTTCAAACTTCCTCTAGTATTTTTGAGTTCAATTTATGAAAGTTTAAAGTGATTTCCGGTTTTTGTAAGTTTCGGGCCACTTAAAAATTTTGTTAAATTAAAATACCGACCGTGATCATAATAATGGTGACATCGGGTATGAGATCTGATTCCGTGTGGCAAAATAAATTGAAAATTAAAAAAGGTATCTTTATTCGTCGGATAAATTCTCATCGAATAAATTCATTTATTCGTTGTTTGTCGAATAAGTATAACCCGGATTATTTGAATCTTCGAATAACGGATAAAATGTATTTTATTCGAATCGTTGTTGAAATAACTTTTTGTCTAGATAATGCCCAACTCTGCTACACACCGAACTTAAATAATATTTATATTAATAACTAAAATGTCAGATCCAGAATGTATAGGACATTTTCAGCATCAAAAGAATTAGGAAAAATTATTGGCATTTGCGAATAAAAAGATGTGAAATCGATAAAAATAATCTTAATTTACAAAAATATACCTGCACTATTGTACTTTTGCTACGATTTTTACGAACTGAGATGGAGCTATAATAGTCCGTATGAGCTTTTTAATTCAGAATAAGTTGTTATTATGTTAATGAAGATAATGGATTTCATAACGGAACTCCCTATATATCAGACAAAATTTCAACATACCTTCATTATGGCCACATCCCGTATATTAACGTCCACGCCAGATTATGGGAAGATTAAGTCATTCCCCCAGATTTAAGGTTAGTCGGAGCAGCCATGACGTTAAAGTTTGAAATTACTGGTTGTATAATATTATGCATATTATAGAATATTTTACTAAAAATTTCATAACATTTGGAAGCACAATAGCTATTTTGAGAACTTTAGATTAGAACATATACTACAGAAACGATTGGAAACCGGGAAATTTTTTATTCATATGATAACACTACGTTCTTATCAAGTTATTCTTCCCTCTGTCTGTCTTTTCCACATTAACAATTCTATTATTTGTTAATCATCATTCTGTAGTTGTGCATTACTTTTCATCTACATTTATCATAATACTTACCGTTCTTGAGATATTTCAGTTTCGTTCATCCTAATAATTTCGTTATGAAATGTGTTCGAATATTTAGCTTTGAATTCATATACTCAGAATTTGCTATTCTGTCGAAATCACGCATAAAAGATTGGATATTCCATTTAAGAAAATAATATCTCCTCTATGCATCCACCTGTCAAGAAATAATTATTACCATATCTTTACCCCAGAGCCAGAATTAAGTCCACTTTAAAAAAAAATGATATTATACATGTTTCCCGCATCAATTCCGATGGTAAAAGTTATTTCTTTCTAAGTCATCTAGTTTCTAATATAGGTACATAATAGTCTAAAAATGATATTAAGTTTATATTTTTAAAACAGTGTAAAGTCCTGCAATTAATACAAATTTCATCATTTCTACATATAAAGACTTGTCTAAAATCCATTCAATAGTTCAAAGATAGCGATTGCTTCTCGCTCAATTTTTACTAAACGATCCCACAGTTACAAGGTTTTCGCACCTTTGATTGACTCTTCCTTAAAGTTTAAACAGTGTAACATTACCCTCTGGCTCTGGAGTCCAGATATTATATATTTCTTTAAATCCTACAAAATTTATCAGTAACATTTTGGCATATTGTACGAAATAACAAATATATTTCAGGTGGACAGACTTCGTGGGGGACACTGTACATTCAATCGAAACTATTTAAATAAGAAACATAAGCCAGTTATGTTAAAAATGTGGAGGACTTCGTGAAAATTGTAACACTTATCCCTCCCAACCCCCCCAAAAAATGGCAACACAAATGGAATGCACAAAGTATAAAAATCGGTTGGATCAGCGGAAAACTAAGGAATTTCCATTCTGTTGCGTCGACGGTTATTCTTCCTTCAGAGGGAGGAGTTACTGCCTAGCTTTTCCACTTCGATTTCCCGTTATTCGTCGTTCTGGCTTCCGCGTCGTTTCCTTCTTCTTATCAACATTTCATGTCACATGTCACGTATCCATCTCTCCGCCGTCACTTTAATGGCGCAACGACATTCACTCGTTCACGATCAGGCCGCGAAATTTGACGTGGCGGATGCAGCTGGCGTGTCGGATTTTACTCTGATTATTCTACTTTCTATGCGTCTGATCCAGCCCTGATTGGCCCACGTAACTTGTAACATGCTTCCGTCGAATTTCCTGTGTACAAGAGTTTAATCCATTTTCTTTGAGAAAGTGGTTGATACTTCTTGGAAGATTTTACATTAAGTTACGAGTAGACTGCAGAAGTTTATGCAAATGCAGATTTTTACGAAGTAATTAACCGTAGACCGGTACTTGCTTTTTAGAGCGTACGCGACACTGAGAGGTCACGGACGACACAAAGTTAAATTTAATATTTGAAATATTATAGAATGATGCCAAAAATTTTTGTCTATTCTTCTTTCAGACATCTTAAGAAAAGACCACTGCAGCATGTACTTTTAATTTAAAGAAAGGAAATCAAAGTATAAAAGATATTTTGAACCGTATGCTAAAAGGGTCTTCGTTCGATATACATGACTTGTTTATAATACTTTTAATTATAATTTTTATTTATAATTTTTCTATAACTTTGCTCAATTGTTTTTGGGCTAACCTAATAATTTCGGTGTACTTGGTTGCTGGTATTTTAAGAGTTTAAAGGAGAAACCACCCTTTTTACTCGAAGCATTATTTGTACTCATTCTCTTGTAATTCGTGAACTACAAAAGATATCGAAAAGAAGTTCATAGAAACTTTGTATCGTTTTTAGTTAACCATATATCAGTTTGAACAAATTTAAAACAGAGTAATTTTTTGAAAATATGTATAAAATTATATGCACAATTCCTTCTTGAAACCTGTGTACAATATAAATTTGACTAGAAATCAAAATGACCCTGTATTCGTCTGCCAAATCCGTCCCACACCATTCGCCTTCTGAAGGTTAATACATTAATAAAATATCATCAATCACTATTTTTTTCATAATAATGCTTTGTGTGTTTTTAACAAATTTCTTAGCTTACTCTTTGAGAAATAAATCTGGACCCCTGAATCAGAATGTGTTAAGTCCTCTTTTTAAAAAAATGACATTTTACATGTTTCCTGTATTAAATATTTCCCTCTTGCCGATGGTAAAATTTATTTCATTCTGAGTCGTTAGTTTTTAATATAATGATCTAAAAATGATATTGACTTCATATTTTGTTTCGAGCCAAATATTGTAAAGTCCATTACATAGGAGAATTATGACAAAGTTTACAATTTGTACAAATAGAGACTTGTCTTAAATCCATTCAATAGTTAGAACGGTTCCAAACTTACAAGTCTTTTGCACCTTTGACTTGCTCCCCTCTAAAGTTTGAAAAGTGTGACTTAATACATTCTGGCTCTGGGGTTCAGAAATAGTACATAATATATTACTGTATTAAATATTACGTATATCACTTCCATTAATACAGTCACAAAATAAACTTAAATTAAAACTTGTCTTCATGATGTACTTGTTTTTACCGTCAGCCGTTTCCTGGTTGAAATATTATTTTCATTAGCGTTTAGTGTTAACATATTCAGGACGCTGATATTATGCACGCATTGTTCGAACTAGCCTGACTACGCGCGCACAATAATGTTGCCTGCATGGTCCATTTGTGTGATTACCCAGATTCGAAAACAAAAACCCTTTGTGTGGCTGTTGCATATCGGATTGACGTACTTTGATGATCAGAATAACTTTCCAGGACTCGTATTACGACAATGTCCGAAGATATGAGGCCGTAATTGAAGAAGTCGTGTCACCGAGAATTATTTACAAATTTTGAATATTTAAATCATTTGATTAGTATATTACTACGCATTATAATCTTGACACTTATGAGAAAAATGAATACTTGTAAAACAAAGATATCTTTCGATTGAGTGCAATTTCCGTAGTATGTTATTTTAATTAATATATTTTTCACATTACAATCGTGACATTTATGGAAAAATTGAATACGTGTAAAATAAAGGTATCTTTCGATGAAAAGCAATTTCCGTAATATGCTGTTTTAAAAGAATTTGTGTGAACAGAAAATTGAGAATATCTGCATGAAAGTTTGCTGTTGGTAAACGTGTCAGCTCCTCTAAAAATACAGTCGACCAGCGCGTCAACAATTGAGAGCATGAAAATTCACTTTAACCTACTGCAAACATGTACACAGATGTACATCGTGTTTGGTACGATACGTAAGTAAAATCGTAATAAGCAAAACCAACAGAAGGGGGTGAATTTGATCAAGACCGAAAGAAATCTCAAACTACAATGTTTTTATTAATTTTGTGACGGTCGCCACAAATGCTTTTTATGATTTCTAATAGAGCTGTCACAGGTGGGTTATTTCAATTCAGAAAAACGATCCTACTTCTATTGCTCGTAACATGCTGATCAAAGATGGATCATTGATGCATTCTACGTAAAATTAATATTAACTGGGAACGAAACATGGGTAAGTGGTTACGATGTGCGCACGAATCAGCAATTGAGCCAGTGGATTTGACATTTCTTCGGACGTAGCTCAAAATTCTTCACCCACTGGGTCGATTACTGCTTCGTCTCCATTATTACTGTTTTGTCCCCAGTTACAATTAATTTTAGGAAATTGTCATCTTCTTCCCTCGACTTAAACGAATGCTAAAAGGACGACGTTTCGCCATGCGAGGGACAATAACAAAAATTGGAAAAAAAAAGATTTTAAATTTGTATAATGTCAGAAGAAAATTACTTTGAAGGTAATCCTATGGAATTATTGTTCAGATTAATAGTAAATGATGATACACAAACTCTTCGAACTTTTTGATCAGAGCTAGTATTATGGTGAGTAGAATATGTTCCCAAAGCTCAATGACCTATACGTATTAGGACGACTATGTACATTTTTTTGTACTAATTATATAGGATG